TCACAACACAAAGTACTGATATTTTACATTTGAAGAATAATGGGAAGCGTTAGCGACAGGATCGAATGGAAGAGAAACGAAATGCTTTGTTTTCTTCTCGTATAATAAAATGATGTGTTCACCTTGCGGTCGTGTCAGCTGAGAGCAACACCGACGGTGAAGCAAAATAGCGGACGTTGCTCTAGACACACGCGCACACCCACCAAAATAGCGGAACGGTAAAGGCACTCGCGTGACAATTACGCCACCTCCTGCGAATAACTTCCCGGGGGAGGATCGTCTTCAGGGTCCGACGCGCGCGCGCCCGCAGACACGCTACTCCCCAGACCAGTTCACACGCAGCTTTATCCGCGCCGTTTACGCGCGCATGCATTTATAGTGGTGTACTCGGTCTGCGTACGTATCCACCCGCGAGCCGCGTGCACACACACACACACACGCACACGCACGGACATGCACAAACGCACGCACGCGCGACTGCATACGCGTACGGTCGCTGGTGCTAGTGCATTAAGCGGCCCACGAGGACGAGTTTGGTGATGCAAATCGAGTGGAACTCGGACTTGTTCGGTGGGGCTCACAAGCTGTTGTCCGTCGAGCAGTCTCGGGCATTCATAGAAGCCGAACTATATCTGATTATTTGCTTGTAGTCCGCTCCTCGGCCGAGTAGCGGCGCCGATGACGACTACGATGACCGAGTACTTGCAATTTTCGTGCCTTCCACCGTTGCTGCAACTTCATTCGCCAGCTATGCTATTGCTTTTGTAAGGGGCCGATGTTCAAATACGGCCTCACGCCTTTAATATCCGCCTTCCTCAAAGCTGGTCCCATCAAAATTTGCGCAATTAAACATGGCTACGTCCCACAAGTCGGTTCTGCGATCATTCGCTTAATGCCCCCAACAAGCGCCCTGTCGTCTTGTCACGTGTATTTTCACCTCTTTAGCTCTTATAAAATATCCTTTTTGCATTTCGTAGAGATACGAACGTGCATAGATGATCCCATGATTGCGTACACGAATAGTCGTGATTTTCGTTGATACAGTTGGGTCGATATCTATTACTAAATTTCCAAAGTCAATCTTATTTCATTAAAGTCTTGGGCTTACATATTAACGGACGAGGGAAGCTGATCGAGAGATTACTAATTTTATAATTTTGAACGAATCTTGCTTAATATTATATCCGCGCACAGTAAATTTATAATCTTAGGTCATTTATTAATCATGCAGCTGCATAAATAATGTTAGCTAATATTAAATAATTGCACCATCATCTTTAAGAGCTTTAATATAAATTAAAGAATTTGTTAAAATAAGAAAATTTGTAATATACGTTGGAAATAGAATATAGATCTATTAGAATAATGATTTTTACATTAGATACGGTTTTGTAAAACCGTTTGTCTTAAATACGATCAATGAAATTTAATGTATTAAAACGTACCATACTATTTATCTATTATTATAAAAGAAATTGAATATTGCAAAAAATGTTGTGTAATGCTTAATATTATCTTGCATTTTTACACGATTTTATATTATATGTTTACATTACGTTGTATAATTTTTATATCAATAATTTAGTCGAATTATCGACATTAATTACAAATCATTACTAATCATAAAATTTATTATAACATATGTTGTAGATATTTATCAATCATTGTTCTCTTTTTACGCTATTAAATTTAAATTAATTTTACTTAAGAATTAGCGAATATAAAATACAATTTAAATTAAAAAATTAAAATAAAACTTGGTATTGCTCAGTTATCTAAGTATAATTTTAATCATTCCAGACAAGTATGTACGCATATTTTCCTATAACAAATAGAGATGCACATGTAGGTATATAAGAATATATGTGGTGTTCAACATACATAAAAGTGAACAGTATTAATGCAATGACATAGATTTAGAATAATTTTAAATTTTTAGATAACTAAGCTGTGCTGAAATATTCTTTTTATTACATATTTTAAAACAAAATTTTCATCGAGTGAAATCATAAAGATAAAATAAATGCATTCTTTACGTTCATAAAAAAAATTTAAAATATTGTTTCTTTTATTTTTTTCCACTTTCTTTTTTTTAGAATTTTTCGAACGTACATTTACATTATCTTGAGGAATGCACGTAAAGTACATGTTACTATTAGATGAAACTTAACATGGTATAATTCACGTTTTTTTTTTATGAAAAATTTAAGCTATGATTTTTGTAACTCTTATAACAATGATATATCTATAGAGTAGAATACAAGAAATCATTTTGTATATATTTAAATAAATACTTTTTACAATTGCTTTTCAAAGAACATAATAGAAATAAAAATCAATGTTTTATAATTGTTTCATAAAGAAATTTGTTAATATAAATGCCTACACTTTAACGTTTAAAATTTTCGATAATAAATCAATATAAATAAGTATTTTGATTAAAGATAATACATTGCATACATTATTTTAAATTTGTAATAATTTTATAATAAGTTGCATCATAATGATATAAAAATCAGTGATATTATTTTAATTAAATTATTTTCTTTTTAATATATTTTATTTTAAAATTTTCAAAAAAAGTCGAATAAACATTTTAAATTATTTAAAATCATCGTTAATTCATTATAATGAATTTATTTATTTTAATTGATATTTTAATTATTATACTTAACTTACTCATTTCAATCATTTCATCAAGTAACTTGTTCATTTTTGGGCGTAAAATAAGCTCAAATGATGCTAAATAATATATCGAATAAGAAATTGTAATAAATTTGATGAAAAATGATGATTATAAGTAATAAATCAAAAGAAAAATGAACAAAATTCTGCATCCCTGCAAACGTATGACTTTTGAAAAATATATTATTATAGTTTCAAATAAACAAAATTATATATATATATATATATATATATATATACCATTTTTAATACATTTTAATTTCGACAAGTCATATATATTATATTATCCATTTCCAATGGATAAAAGTTTAATAAAAAGTGAAAACTGTTTAAATCTTTCAATATAAATATTATTAAAGCTTAATAATTTTTTCATCATTATGAAGTTGAAAATAATAATATATTAATTTAATTTTTTGAGAGGTAATTTCGTTAAATACGAATTTTCAATAGAATATTTGCAATTTTATTATTCATGCATACTAAACTAAATTTTTTACTCATTATCATAAAAAACGAAATTATCATTATTATAACACTATTCATTATTCTAATACTTATTGATAATATAATGATCAATACTATTCATTATACAATTATTAGTAAAAACAATTACACAATTAATATGTATATTATTTTAAATCGTATAAATTTTTATTAGGAACTTCTACAATGCATATTAGTACTATAAATACATCAAATTTTAAATTGTTTTTGAAATAACTCTTTGAATTATAGTGAACACAAAAAGTTTATATTTAAAATATATTTAACATTTTATTTATAAAATCTTTTAATTAATTTCAATATTGACTTTAAAATCATTTTTATTTATCTAACAATTTCAATATTTCTATGATAATTGAATTTATCCTAAAATGGTAATAACACAATGCTCTAAAATGCTTAAAGATTTTAATCTAATTGTTTACATCTAATTACTGATATAAAACAATTTTAAATGTGACTATTTAATATTTAGTTCTAATACAAAAACTATTTTAAATGCATAAATTTTAAATTACTTGTGTTGGATTTAATATCTAACTTAAAATTAACATAAAAATACAAAATGAAGATTAATTAGAGCAAACTATTTATAATAAAGAAAGCTTTAATAATGCAGAATCAAAAAATCTACAAGTATAACTACAGATTATTAAAACAAAAAATAATTAATTAAAAGAATAATAAAAAATAAGTACACATGTATAACTTATATAGGTTTTCAAGCAATGATTATTTTAAATAAGTTCTTAATTCATCAATTTTGTTCAATAATCATTTATAATTTACATTTAAATGATTAATATATTGATAATTAGTGTTGAAATTAAAAATGATGCTTTCAGAATAACTTTTAAAGGAACACAATGGTCATATGGTCATCATGTTTAAAATAACCAGTCGAGTTTGTTTGTACTTATGTATTATTTGATTTTAAACAGTGCTCTTCATTTTATTTTCAAATTTGATTTGAAATTCACTCTTAACAATTCAATCATTGAGAAATTAAAAATGGATTGTTTTTATTCATTTTTAATTATTAATAATGAATTCGAATTTCTAAGGCTACAATAATACTGATTTGAGTTTTCTCAAAGCCGTAGAAACTATTCGAAGAAATTATAAAATATATTTTTTAAGTGAAGAAAATACAACGAAATATGTGTATAATATAATTAGAAGAAATTATTATTATCATTACTTTTAAATTAATATATTTAAAAAAAAGTAAATTTTTTTTTTTTTCAATGTATGAAATTTAAATATAAGAACATTATGTAAAATTCATTATTAGTTATCTATTAACAATGTAAATTCATACAATTGATAAAGAATACATAAGCTAATTATGTACAAAAGCAATTTAGTATCTATATAGCCTCGTTTAAAGTGCCAACTAAAAACTACAATAGAAAATCTTTGAGATTTGTGTCTTATTTCTAGGCAACTTTGTACAATATGGTAAAAGTCTTAATAATTCAATTTACAGTGAGTAATATACAAATATTTTTTTAAAGGTCTACTTAAATTACAAATAAGATTATTATGACTATAACTTATTATACTTATATATTATTGATATGAAAAATTATATTAATATTGTGCTTTACAAAACACAGTAAACATTAATGTAAATTTATTGTAACTAATGAGAAATATCTTAATGTTTTTTGCATTTAGTGATAATGTGAGAAAGCAATTATCATACGTATCAAACCTATTTGAATAGCTAAAATGGCTGAAATTCTTCTACAAAATCTGTATTTGTATTTACATTTCAATTTATATACTTTATAATTATTCTGTACAATTGTATGAAATTTCTAATATAGAATTTTAAATTTGTTTGTCTTCCTACATTTTAATACAACATCTTGTGTATCTTGAGAATTTTTCCTAATCGTTGTTTTGCAGTCTTCATTCCTTTTTTCGGTTTTCGTTCTATAAATAAAATATTTTGAAAATTAATTTACATTTATAAACATAAAAAAATCTATTTTTTCTTTTTGTTGTTTTTATATAAAATACTATTTCCATATCGAAAATATATTTCTTAATAATTGAATTAATAAATAAGTTTTGATTTATAAAGAATTATAACTGAATAGGTTACTATGATTAAGAAAACATTTAATATAATTAATTTTAGTCATTCATTAGTAATACAATCATTTTCAAATGATTTATTCTTGCAATTTTTTTAAATTACGTGCAATTAAGTTTAGCATACGCGTTTCTTTAGAGAACTATGAAAATACGTCCAATATATTAATAAATAATAAATAACCAAGCAATTTAAACTCACCAACTGGAATCGGTGCTGCCAACTTAGCTTTCACATCCTTCAATCTATTTGGACTGGTTAAAATAGATGTATAACTTGGAGTGAGTTTGATTATATGCTCAGGTGAAACAATAGAATCTGAAACTACACTTAATGTATTTGATAATGTTGTTGTAGGTCCTGCTACCGTTAATGTTGGTGATGTTGTTGTAACCACTGTTGAGACTACCAATGGATCTTTTCGTTTCTTTTTATACGTTCGTTTAGTAGTACCCTGATAAATGAAATAAGTAATTATAATTATTATAATAAAACTAATAAAATTGGAATAAAACTTAAATTGGAATTATTATTTATATTTATATTTATTGATAACTTATTTACATAATATAAAATTAACTGATTGAATGGAATTAAACATGATTATTTTTTACATTGTATAATTAAAAATGCTTCTATTTGGCAGTATCAGGAGCTGTTGCTATAATGTTCTTGGATGTATATATGATTAATATAAGTAGATTGTTAAAAATACCTTACTCGATAAGTATAAAATTAAATCACTTTTTCTTTTTCTTTTCTTATAAAATATTTAGTAGTATGATGAAGTTCAATTATTTAATATTATTATTTAATAACTTTTTATTGCGTAAATTATTAAGAAAATTTTTATTTATTTTTACCTAGAAGAGGAATATATATTTAACTATGTCATAATAAGATTGAGTTTATTTCTTTAATATTAAATTAAATTAATTATATTACTCGGTTGATAAATACGCCTCTCAATTTTAGTGTATTTGAATTTCAAATTAGTTCTTCTAATTATTAGAAATATATGGAATCTCATTGAATTATTTACATGAAAATTATTTTAATTTCAGCAAAGTCCCGTTTTAGAATTATATACGATAAAAATGATCTAAATTATACACTTAATATATAATTTTAATCAAACACAGCTAATAATGAGCTTTTATGAATAAAAATTAGTTTTAAAAATTATTCATGAAATAATGTAATGATAATATAAGCAAAACAATATCTTGTTTGTTCATTTGTCAATTTTTAGAAAGTTTTATATTTCACAATATCTTTTATTATTTCAAGTCATATTTTCAAATATAAATTAACTTTTGTTATTAATTTTTTTCACACAAACAAATTATTATACATTAAAATTTCTAAAATAATATATTTAAAATTTTACATGGTATTATATGTTTAGTCATAATTAAGTAAAGCTCGATATAAGAATAACATTGCAATAATATAAGTATCGTCATTGCATGAAATTAACAGCGATGTCATTAACATTTATTATACTTACAGGTTGTTTTGCTCGCTTCTTCGCAGCGGCTTCGAGGCCTTTCTCTACGGAGGTTTTCTTCGTACCTTCTCGTGCTGGTCGATTTGTTTTGGGCAAAAGTGGGCCAACCCTAGCCTTCGGATTCCAGGCTTCATCTTCTTCTTTTTTACTCTTAGACTTAAACATGAACTCGTCCTCATCTGACACGTCCAAAGCTGGATAAACTGAAAATATAGTAAATATAGTAAATAGAAATAAATTACATTTATTTGATTAATTTTATTCCTTTGTATTCTTTAAATTACATGCTAGACGTACTTCTAAAAATGCAATCGAATGCATTTTCAATAAAGGAAGTACAGTTGTACTTCAAATTATATTAATTTTCATAATAACTAGTATGTTTATTGAAAATATATACATTTTAAATAGGTTGATGAAAATGTTAAAATTTCATGTGTAAATAATTTAATATACAATAAATAAGAGTGAACAATAAGAGCGAGTACATTGAAAGTAAAATAATAATTTACGATCTATTATAATAGTGATTGATTAATATTACGATTTTGAAGATTTGAATTCACTTACTAAAGTCATCATCTTGATGAACTTTATCAATGTTTTCTATTAAAAGGTCATCGTCAACTCCGTCATCATTTTCATGCTGTTCGACAACAGGTTTAGGTTTTACTGATTTTGTTGATTTTTGAGGTGTGTCAGAGGTAGTTGAATAACATTGTGCACTGAATGATAACATCCCAGCAATAGCATCCCTTGTAGATGGTGAAGCCCTGTCAGAACTAACCGTTTTCAATTTATAAATACTAAGACACCAGAAACAAATTGTATCTGTATGGCGTCCTTTAAAAAATCTTATAAAAACTAGTTAATAATTTAATGTATCTTACCAATGCTTACCTTACAATTAATATTTTTATTATAATAAATAACAATCGTAAGCAATATTAATCATTAATAGTTACTAACCCCGTGGAGACGGATGCTGGTTGAATAAAATTTACTACTGAAGGAACTACTGAAGGAGTTACCGTAGGAGCTATGGAAGAAGCTAACGAAGGAGCTACCATTGGTCTAGAAACATAATTTAATATATTGAATTAATAACAAAGATTATCAAGAAATATTTACAGTTCGTAAAACTATTTCTACAGTCATGTGGGAAAACTTACATGACATCTGTTTTTGATCCACTTGTACCTAGTGTATATACAGAAGCCTTGAGCAATTCTTCAATTCCATTCTTGGGAGTATTGTTTAGCTTATCCAATTCATTATTGTATAATTTGGTTTTAAGTTTTTTCGGATTGCTTACTGATTTTTGAACTTTCTTTTTTTTAGGTGCTTCATCGATCGTAAATCCACTATGATCGCTTTCGTTGCTACCATCGTGAAAATCATATACTGAGGTTGTTTGCTTCCATGTCAATTCCTTTCTTGTCTCCACTGCGTGATCCAAGGTAAAATTTCCGTAAATATTATTTCCTTTATCTTTTGTACGTCTTATTACCTCTTTATCCCCTAATTTAAATCTAATAACAGTTGGACTCTGCTTTCCAGGTTTTGATACTTTCTTATTCTCTCCAGAAACTTTCTTGAAACTGGAGGTTTTTTTAGTATTTGGTACTTTTTTCACATTAGAAATTTTACTAGCATTACTAGTCTTATTAACATTTGATTTCTTAACAGTAGGAGCTTTGGGACTAAGTGTTTTTATTTTTTTAACAGTTGTTGAAATGTTAGGAGATGATAAATCATTTTTTGCTTCACCTTTGACATAAGGGAAAATTGGTGGCTTTGGTAATGTTAGTTTCAACGGAGGTCTATTTGTAAGTCCCTTACTATTCACTATTGTTTCCTTCTTAATCAGTTGTTCTTTCGCTGAAGCTTTAGTTTTTGAGGTATCCGATGCTTTATCAGCTACATTAAAATCTACAAAATCTTTATTAAACGGCTTTTTTTTCTTTCTTTTACTTTCGCGTTCTGGTTTTGGTGGATTAAGCGCAATCAAAAATCTTTCTGCATGCCTAATTTCCTTACTAAGATCTTTTAGTAATTTTTGACTACTAATTGTTTCAGGTATCTGTGCTCTGCTTAGCATGCTATACTAAAATAAAATTAAGCATAACCTTTTTTATGTATCTATAAATTGTATATTACATTATTACATTCACATTATATATAAATAAGAAATTAATTATTGTTAATTATGTGTAACATTATAAAAAAATTGAACTCCATTTATTATTCTTATTTTAGGATCAAATATTTAATTATTTCACTTAAAATGTTAATTGACTTTTTTGTAAAAGTTACAAATGTGAGTAATGGCAAGTAAAATTGAAAAATTAAATATAGAAAATTGCTTACATCCTTATCTGTATTCCATTGTTTAAGTATACTTAATAAAGCCTTAACACCTTGTAAAAAGTAAGGTGGACATTTTTTTTCTTCACAATTAAGATCTTTTAATTCTTTCAATAAACGTTTTGCTGCAAACCAGTTGATTGTTTCAAAACCAGGATATTGAAACTTTGCTGGAGTTTTCATTTTTCGTTCTATTTCATAGATTCTATACAAACAAATTATCGTTTCTGAAATTTTGTGTTATTTACAAAATCAAATTTAAAATAAAATTTATACATACTGTATTTGCATTGGGATGTTGAGGCTATGTACAAAATTACCTCCAAATACCAAAGAGTCTACAGGTGTTAAAACAGCATGAATCCAACCTGTTGGTATCAACATTGTTTGTCCTTGTTTTAAAATACATTTATAACAAGCATCGACTTGATCTCCAAAAAAAGTTTCACTTTGTGTAGAACTACACATCCACTGCTGATATAAATGTAAATTTGCTGGTGTAGGCTTGATAAGGTAAAAAATTTTTTCTCCTCTTAAAACATGATACCACACAGATGTTCCACCAAAATCAATATGAAAGTCTGTAAAACTATCTTTCACACCCATGAGGCAATACTTTTGTACTTCAGGTTTTTTTAGTTCATTATTTTCAGGCCAATCACGAGGCCAAACATAATTTATCCAGTCAAGTTTACGTGCAATATATGGTGCTTCGACCAAGGGTGAGAGACTGTAAATTTTATTTGTTTAAAATAATTACGAACTAACGAATTATTAATTATCCAAAATTACAAACAATTATATACCCAGTATTTGTAAATTCTAAACTAATAACATTAAGAATTCTAGATCGATAAGGATCGTTGTAATATTCAACAAATTCTCTTAATTTCATTCGAACATTATTTTGCCTTGTCACATCAATAACATCCATTTCACGATCGCCTCCTTAAAATGTTAATGTTACTTAATTGTGTATATTAATCTAGCTTATATTATAATAAAAATAAATTTTATATAAAATTACCAATATAACTTTCAATGTCATAAAGACTAAAATTTGGTGGTGGTACAATCATATCAAGACCATCCTTACTGTCTACAATAATGGGTATGTCAAAACCATTAGTTTGTAAATACTGCATCGTTAGCTGTTGACCTCTTAAATGTTTAACAATATCATCGGCTTTATGAAAATGCCTAGACTTCAATTCTCTGATAAAAACTGATGTACCTGTTTGAACAGGTTTTGCATCTGCTTGCATTTCAGAATAATCATGACGATGCCAATTTATTTTTACTTTCACTATAAATAAACACGTGTATTGATATGAATAAATATTGTTTTGAATTATATGTATTATCTATATAACTTACTCAGAGAAGGACCATGACTTTCTTCACATCTAGGGCAATGGAATTTATTTATTTCTGTTGCCATGTATTCTTTAATTGCTACACACCTTTAGAAATACAAATTTTTTTATTTTTGTTATATATATACGATAAAATAAACAAAATTGTACAATATTGGTTAAGTTATGAAATAATTGTAAAGTAGTGATTAAATAAATAGTAAATGTTAGATAAAAGCTACGTTATTAACACAGGTTATGTTTACAATAACAAAACATCCCATACACCTAATAGTTAATGCTTAATAATATATGTATAGAAAGAATTCCTATAAAATTAACCAATATAATTAATAAAAGTTAGTTTAAAAAAATGTTAAGGCAGAATATGTAAAACATATCAAAAGCACCTGAAGTAGGAACTAGTGATGACCGAATACATACCTTCCATGAAACCACGATTTACAAATATTGCATTGTATCATAAATTGATCAGCATCAAAGGGATCACCGCATAAACAATTAGTTGATGGTAAATCCATTTTATAATATTAAAATGCACAGTAAAATGTAATGTAAACTGTCTTTATATGGATTATCAAAAAAAAATCGGCAGCAACGCCTAACGCCTAATAAACGTCACCATAGACGTAATAATTATGCATGAAATGCAGTTGATGGATCGACAAAATGAGTTGAGACGAGAAATCATGGCTAACGTAGAACAAAAGTAAGTAAAAAGTTGAATGAGTTTATATTATGATACACCTAGCGGATTTTGTCCTAAGTTCTTTTGTATTTATTCATAGATTAAGCGACAAACATATGAAGAAGACGAAGTACCAACAATAAAAATCTTATCTGCACACAGGAGTTCATGTATTTTTACTGTTATGTATTAATTTTTATTCTCATTTAATACGTGTTTATAATAAAATTTACTATAAATTTTATTCAACGTTCATACAACGATTAAAGTTATTTTATTCAATTTTAATTATTAAAATGGTTATTCGTATATAATAAAAAAAAAAATTATATATTTTAATGTTTAACTTTAATAATATACGTTATTCAAATAGAGCTTTTTAATTATATTAATATTTGAGTTTCTAACTTAACCCAATGCATATAAAATGATAATAAAAACATAAATAGAAGATTAAAGTATAAATTCAAATATCTTCAATTGTGACTAGTAATGTTCATATAAAATTTTAATGGATTGTTAATATATTAGATATGACTAATTTATTGTACAAATATTTAACGGTTTAATATTAGTTAGCAATGATTTACAGTATAAGTAATTTGATTAAATATTCATATATATATATATATATATATATATAAATATTTGCAATAAAGTTTAAAAATAAATTATTTGCAATGTAATATAATATACAATATTTAATTTTCTAGGCAACCTTATTCAAATGTCTATTAAACAGTTGTATTGAAATTTTTATCAATATTTTGTACATGAATTATTTATGCAATAATTTAAAAACATTATTAAATAATTTATAAATTTGCTAGTAAAACTCACATAAAAGTATGTGATTTATTTATAGCTTTAATTTTGTATTTATAACTTATCCATTGTTAATTCATAATAAAATAACATAATTTTTAATAAATACAAAGCATCCTAATAAATATAATTGTAATTAAAATATTTACATATTTTTTATACAAATTCTCTGTATTTCAGAATAAAGGTATGTATATTTAATGTAATCTTTATTTTATCGACAGTTCTCTTGTAATAAATTCCGTATTTGTTTTCATATTTGTCTTATATTTTAAATTACAGTTTTGCATTTGATTTTTTATTTGAAAATTGACAGGTTTCGCAATATTTTAATTGTACAATTACATCAATTACTTTTTAGCGTACTTTTCAAATATAATTATAATGCCTAAAGTAGATACAATGAAACTATTCATATTATTTTTCATTGATTTTTCTATATTAATTTCATGATTATCTTATATTTGTTTTCGTATAGTATTTATTCAAATAGAAATAATATAAATTGTCTTAATTTATTATATTATATATTATTAAATATTAGTTTAATATATAATAAATAAATTATTCATTGAAGATTCACGTAAAATATTTCTATCATTTTTTCAGACAATTATATTAGAAGCAATGACTGACAAATTATGTCCGTACTTTATTATCAAAATTCAGAATTTTCATTGCTTTTTGTACTATCTTTTCTATAATTAAACTTTTATTAATTTACATTATATATTCATTTTTTTCACAAAATAAAAAATTTAAATTTGACGAAAAAACATCCGATATAACAAAATGCATACTTTATTATTTATACAAATGTTAATTGTAATTAATATACGGTTAAATGTAATTTTACAATTACAAATGCTCTAAAAGTTTATAATGTAAATAACTACTTTACGAATATTCTTGAATGGGCTATATTGTAATACCGATTATTTAAAAATTGAATAGCATCAAAATGTATTTTAATTTAAAATTAAAATACACAATTTTACATTTTTATAAAACTATTATGTACCTGAAAATACAAATAATTATTATTACCCTCTGTATCGAAAATGAATTCAAAATACAGTATTATTCTTCTGATAAAAACTAACAATGCAAACCACATAAATTTATGATGTAATAGAAATAATTTTTATATCACAATATAAACACAATATGTATTTTAAAATATAATTTATTTACAATACAGTCATAAAATAACAATATATACTTTTATACATTAATTACAATAATATATCACAGTTTAAATAAGAAATAAAGTTGTATAATCACCGGCTGTTGTATAATATTATATTATAAGCATTTTTTATAAATTTTAAATTAAAAGAAACTATGCTTTAAAAAAATGCATAAAACATAAAATAATTGAATAATTAAACATTAATAAACTTTCAATACAAAAATACATTCATTCAATAATTAATACAATGTTGTAATTCTTTTAATTTTGAATCTTATGAATTTAATTTATCAAGCTTTTTAAATTCACAATTAAATATTCGTTCTAAAATATATTTTAGAGAGTAAAAAGTTTACCAAATTCTTATTTACATTTCACTTTCTTCAAATAATATAATATGTATATTAGTTTATTTTTTAAATTGCTTTAATAGTAAGGATTCTTCCATAACTTCATTTCGTAAAGCTTCAGTTTCATCTTCACTACTACTACTATCACTATCTCTATTATTTATTAAAAGTTTTTTGCTGCATATTTGCTTTCTACTATTATTTAAACCTTTTAATTTTAATCTCCTCTTTTTTTTGGCTTTTTTTCTTTCGTTTTCTAAATGAATTTCAATATCTTCTAATACAGAATTATTAGCAATTTTATCACTGCTGTAATCATCAAAGTATGTCTCATCCCCAACGCAAAATGAATCCTAATAAAAAGCAATATTTATTCATAATAATATTCAAAATAATTGTTATTCGCATTGTTTAAATATTTCTTTTATATAAATTTAAATATTTTTCAATAGATATATTTAATATAGGACGAATAAACTCATACACTTTTTCATTATTGATTATATACATTAATAATGTCATGAGGTATGGTATTGATTGATTATATTGATATACAAAAGTGTCTGTCACTTGTCGGTCTCATATTTCATTCTTTGTAAAGTTTTGTTAGAGGCATTTGGATATCAAGCCCATCATATGTCAAAATTATAATGTAAGAACAAAGACGATCAGAAATTAAAAAAATATTTCTAATTTTCTTAATAATTTATTTCAATTAGGCATTAATTTTATATTACTTAATAAAAATGTGCAAATATCCATATGGCTACGCCATAAATATCGAGATTTGTACTTTGTTTCTATTTTTCTATATAATAATAGCAATGATATTTGCAATGAATACACATAGTTCAATTTAATGCAAATACTTCATAATAGCAGATTATATTCAATAAATGTTGTTAAAACAAATATTAATCATATGAGTAAAAATATAGAAATTTACATTTCATTTATCAAATGATCTACGTTATATGTCGAATATGAATATATAAGGACAATAAATTTTAATACATACATTTTATAAAATGAAATCTTTTATAATAATTATCGTACAGTACACTGGCACGTTTATATATACATATGGATGCAAGCGATTTTATTCTTTATTAAAATATTTATTAAAAAATGGTCATGAATATATTGGTTTAAATTAATATAATCATAAAAAATTTCGTTTTTTTTTAAAATAAATGTAATGATAAAAATGAAAAACTGTTTAATAAATTTTGATAAATATAATAAAATGTTTTAAAGATTCAATAAATTCATTGTCATAAATAATAAGAAATAAAATGTATGAAAAAAGTTGATTTAAACTATTATAACTACAATTTATTATAAATAATTATATTTATATATACTTTTATATATATTTTATAATAATTTTATATTTTAAATACTTACATTTACATAAGAATTATCGGCTTGTGATGGCACCTGAGAATAAATTTCGCAATCCGGCGCCACGTTTTTTAAAGGTTTGAATACGAAACCTCCAGCTTTTATCGGGCTTTTATTCAAAGTTTGTAAATAATGAGCTCTCATATCCGTTGTATCTATTTGTTCTTGTGAATAACTGATGAAATCTGTCAAATCTTTATCCTCGTCTCCAGAACTTTCATCTAGACTTTCATCACTTGTGCTAACAACCGCTTCATTATCAATGAATACATTTCTCAATTTTTTTGCCTTTGTTTTATGTTTATTATTATTCTGCATATTATTTTCTACGATATTATTTTGAAATTGCGGACTTATACCGTTTTCTTTTTTATAATGATCGCTTGCACTCGGCAGCTTATTTTCTTTATTATTATATTTATGTTCGATCACATTCAATGCGGTAAATTCAGACATTTTAAGTTCACAATTTGCATTTATTTCATCTTGAGGTATAATAAAACAATCTTCATCTTTGTTAACATTATCATTTACGTTCTTTTTTAAACTCAATAAATTTAACTTCGATGATTTGATATTCTGAACATTGAAAATTTCATTTTTATCATCTAAATTAAGAGAATTCAATTTTTTATTATCTGACAAAGATTTAGATGTTAGCCTCTTAAGATTCGAATTTACTGGAAAATCGAACGTTTCATTTGAAGTCGATGAAAAATTACGATTATATGCTACTTTAAGTTGCACGTTTTTTATTTCTTTTGTCGTATTAACTTGGAAGATATTAGAAAACGAAGATTCTTTTTTTACAAGATTGAAATCGTCATTCCAATCACTCAAGTTGAGATCACTTAAATCCATAATACTTGGTTTTTTAGAAGCGAATAGATTATCCTTTCGATCATTAAATAAACGTTTATTTTTATTTTTATCTTCTTTTTCAATGTCATTTAACGCAATTTTTTTATCGAATAAACTCATTTCGCGAAGCAATAATTCACTATCTTTATTAAAGTCCTTCTTGATTTCTTTATTTTCATCTTTAATCTTTTCTCGAATTAAATGTACATTTTCTTCTTTTTTAATGACGGAAGATTTTTTTAGATTTTCATCAAACAGTCCTTGATTATATTCTGCATTAATTGACTTTTTATCTTTTTCACCACTTTGAATAATAATATGATTTGTTTCATTTTCAGAAGGTACTTTTCCATTTATTGAAGTAAAGCTAAACTGTGTATCAAAATCAAGATCATCGAAAAGGTCTTGATCGGAATCTAAATAGTCATTATTTACAATTAATTTTTCAATATTATTATCGTTATCGAAGTTTAATTTTATTTCTTTACTTTTTTGTGGAGTACCTGGAATATCAGTACTTTCACTGTCAGATGAATCAATATCAGAAATTTTTTGCTTTTTCTTAATCGATTCTCGACAGGGGCTACTACTGGCACTTCTTTTTATTGTAGATTTCGATGAATTTTTAATTGTATTTTTATTTATAACTGTTGGTATATTATTAATATTATCGTCATCCTCACTGAAATTGAAGATATCGGTATCCGAAGAAGTTCCGTTTAATAATTCGTCAAAAATATTTGCTTGTTCAAATTGACTGTTAATCAGAGTTTGAGATTCCGATTCCTCCGATTCGGTACATTCATCAAGAATATTTTGGAAATCCACTTCAACAGTCGCACTTTCTATTGGTTCTTGAGATAAATATTGATATTCTTTTGCCGCCTCGCATGTAGTCGTAAAGGAATTAATTTTATCTTGGTCTTTTGAATCTTTTTTCAAATCATTTTCGGGGAGATAGTTTTTGGAATTAAAAGTAAAACAGTCATCTTCAAAAAAATCAGAAGTAAATATTTCAACGCTTTTACTTATTGACTTAGTTTTTTCTAATGTTTCAATTTTGTTCAATTTTGTAGTAGAACAATCGCTGTTTAATAAATCAAATTCGTCTATACCAATTTTTTCTTGTATGTTTAAATTTGTTTTTTGATCTATTTTTGCATGTACACACTCATTAAATAAAGAATCCTCAAACTCGTTAAATTTTATATCACTTCTCATATTTTGTTCATTCGTGTTAAAATTAGGTAACGATTTAATTGTTACCGATGTGAGTTCGTTTTCAAACGATTTATTGTAAAAAGTTAAGCCTTCGATACAATTAAGCGTATCTAACGTCGGAACATGAAAATCATGAAATATATCATGAGATGAACGAGTGGGTACCCATGCCTTATCAATATTTATTATATTATGAGTTTGTGTAACGTGTTCAGATTTTTTCATAGTACAAAGAGTTAAAAATTCTACAGAATGACTATCCGAAGTAATAAGTTTAACTTCTTCAGGTTTTATTACAGTGTAGGAATTTTCTATATTTGTTTTATTTTGAATAACATGCAATTCTTCTGAGAGGATACCAGAGTCACTTTCATAATTCCTAGTAGATAGCGGCTTCTCTTGACGTTGATCAGAGAGAAACTTCATCATCGTCGACTGCAATATTTTATTTTATAAGTTGTTTTACATAGATTAAGCTTGAATTTTGGTATAGCTTTAGCTTGTTAAAAACACTCAAATTTGAAACATTAATAATAAAATTTAATAAATTGTATTAATAAATTGTATATACAATTTGTATATTTGTACTATTTTTATTTTAAGTGACATACAAAAAAAATTATAATAAAAATTTAATTAATTAAAAAGTTTCAACATCCACAAATGAATTTTTATTTGATATTATTTATAGGGATTCGATATCAAAATATTTTAGATGTAATTATGCTTATTTTATACATGTAAAAGAATAAATAAAGGATATGTACCTGTGTATTTGTATAAGATTTAGTGTTTAAATTTGTTTTTGATGATGATGATGATGATGATGCTATATCATTATCGTACAAAGGAATAGAATTGTTTTTATATTTTTTTGATTTTTTTTCAATCGATTGTTTCACTTTTTTACTCGTAATGTGTTGCTTTGGCTGAACTTTAATAAATATAGGAAGACATTGAGGATTAATATAAGCAGGTACCATTCGAGAATTTGATTCATACAATGACGATGTAATGTTACTGGACTGTAATATCTTAGTATTTAACGAATTCTTTTTTGTTAAGGCTTGAGAAAAAGTCTGTAAATTAATTTAATTAAATTCGATGAATATATTTTAAATTATTTCCAAGACCTTAAATAATTAATTCTTAAAAATATTAATACAATAATTACAAATTAATAATAATAATAAATATAATAATAATAATAGAAATAGAATATTTTTATTGTTAATATAATCAATTTTTTGATGATAGAATTTTTACTAATTAAAATTTTAACAATAAACAATTTCAAGATTTTATCAAAATATATAAGAAATTATTAACAATTTAGATCGCTAAATGCGTATTAATAAATGTATTTAAAAAATCTATTCAATTCCATAAAACTATGTAAGTTTATTAATCAATACATGTTCAATTTTTATTTTAATTTTTTGTAACTAATTTAGTTTAATATTTGAAATATTTAATATTTAAAATATTAAATAATTTTTCAAATGAATTATAATTTTATAACGAAGTGTATGAATATTAATAAATGCACTAAATGATAAAAGTTGATAAATATGGAAACTCATATAATTAGAGAAATATAGTAAATTTACCACTTCTTCCTGTCCTTCAGTTAATAAAACTACTACACGTCCTTTTCGTTTTCTACCTGTTCGACCCATTCTTTGAACAAGTCTTATAGGAGTACTAGATGAAATATCAAAACAAACAATTAAATCGACTTCTCCAACATCTAAGCCTTCTTCACCTATTGAGAAAAATATGCATGTTTGGCAAAGCATCAATCATTCACAAATTATTTCTATTATTAATTTATATTGAAATATAATTTTACCAACTGACGTTGAAATTAGAACATTAACTTTATTATTTCTAAAATCTTCGAGAGCTGCAGATTGTTGTTTCTGATTGAATCCTGCTCTACCTATGAACATTTGTGGACGAATTAATGGTTTCTTTTGCAATAATAAAACATAGGCTTCATTAACAATATCTCTGTACTGAAAGAAATTATTGATTAAAATATTTGATTTATATCGAGCTACATTTTTATTGTAAAATACTATATACTTCAACAAATACAATGGCTCTAGTACTCTGTTTCTGTTCAGAAAAGGATTTAAAATGTTCCACCAATAAATCGCAAAGTTTATAAAATTTATCATGTCCAAATATAATATTATCAGGTATCTAAAGACAAATCATTTATTAATCAATGAGTATAATAATGGTTTCATTGTAAATATAATAAAGGAAAAACTAACATTTGAAATATTTCCATCGATTAATGCTTCAACCGGTGGCAAATTTCCAATGTGTTTTATTATATCTTCCAATAATACTTGCAGCTCTATTTCTGCTTTAAGCCAAAACTTATCTGAGTGATCTTAAATAAAATGATTAATTATAAATAACTGTTATGAAGATTAAAAATATTAAGCAACAAATAATTACATACTGGAGTAAAAATTGTAAAATGCTCGTAATCCATGTTTTATTAAAAGTTCAAAAGCATGATACATTGTAATTAATATATTTAATGTTTTTAAAATTATTCCATGATTACTTGATTTCTTAGGTGGATTTTCATATTGTTTTAATAACATAAATATCTGGAATAATAAATAGTATACAATTATGTTTTGTTATAATTACTAAGCATATATAGAAATAAATATACATTACTTACCTTTCCTTTAGAAATATTATTTAAATTGCCTTGAAGAATTTTACAATTAACTAAAATTCTTACATGTCGATCCATAATATTTATATATCTTTCTTTATAAGTTTTTAATTGTTTATTCAATCGTACAATTACTTTTTCTATTGATCTATCATTAATATAAGGGATGATATCCGGTGAACTATCATCTCTTAATTCCAGTTCAGAAATATTTAAATTTTGAACAACCTAATTTTAAACAAATACAATTTTATACTCTTAACACTTATAACATGGAAACAAAACTACTGAAAACCTACCTGCCGAACGTGATCTATTTTACTTCCTGGAGTTGCAGATAAAGCAAGGACTCGAAAAAACTTAGTCTTTTTATTTAATGCACGAATGATCTATGATGTATATACATTAATTTTTATAAACATGTAATATATAAGATTATTTGAAGGAATAAAAATATGATTACATACTTCACAATAAGAATGTTTTCCTAAAGCCTTATGAGCTTCATCAATAACAACACATTTAATTAACTCTTGAGGCACATAGTCATTCTGAAGATCTTTTTGAAAAGTTTGTGGTGTAGCAAAAATTACTCGCTTTTGCTTCCAAGCTTGTTGACGTTTATTTCGATTAACAGTACCTAATTTAATAATATATATTAATAAACAAATATATTTTTAAAAATAAAGCAATGGTTAATTAAAGCTTACCAGTTAGTTCTATAGTTTCGTCATGAGGAATACCCATTATGTCATTGCAAGCAAAAATTTGTTGTGTAACAAGTGGTTTTGTTGGGGCTAAAAACACAATTCGTCCTTTGGGATACCATCTCCAAAAATTATACATAATAACAGCAGCAATAAATGTTTTACCTAAACCTGTTTTATTAATAAATAATTATAATTTAGGTCTAAATTCGATTATACTCTCACATCTTTTTTAGAAATAGAAAAACTAATCTAAGCAAATTTATACCTGTTGGTAAACATACTAATGTATTACTATATAAAGCAGTCTGTACAATAGAAAATTGATATTCTCTTCGAGGAAAATTTTCTGGGTAAATCCATTTGTCGCCCGATGATAAATCAAACCCCATAGTATCGACATCCGTGGAGATTAATTTACTTTGTGAAAATGACTGTATTCTTTCTTCTGTCATTCTGTAATATGTTCTAAAATAAAAATTAGAAAGTATTTGTATGGCTTTGAATTAACATTTTCAGATTAATTAATTTCAGTAATATCTATTTAAAAATTGTTAAACAACTTTTAAAAAATAATTTAAAAAAAAAAAATATATATATATATATATATATATATATATATACCTTCTCTTTTGATTCCTCTACATCATGTGAATTAAATATAATCCAATAACAACCTAAAATCGAGATTTCGATATTCAGACGCCATTTTCGCATGCGCAGTAGAGTATTAGGCCCATTTACTCATACCATAGACTACAATTCAACTTAAAAATGCATCCGTCATAGATGCAACTACACTACCACTTGTACCTCAGTTTGAAGGATTACATGAAGTAGTAATGAGGCACATATTTTAAATGTATTAGATAAAAATTAATTTCTTTTATTTTATATAGACTAATATTTTATTTTTTAATTTATCGTTTAGTGTTTTTTGGAAAGTTTTTTTATTAATCTCATATGATATATTAAACAATTTAGATAATTTATTATTTTATACATTTTTTATTTTTTTTTTTATATAAGATTAAGGACATATTAGTATATCGTTAATTTAGATATTTTAGCGATTCATCGTAATGTTATGAATGTTTTAATATTGATTCTTTATTTAATAAAAATTATTTTTACATTGCATTGTCGAATATTATTTAGAAAATTGTGTGAACACGATGTAGTTTATTTATAAAAAAGGTTATAGCTGATGTAGTTTTAAAGAGTGCTTTAATTTTGAATGCTTTTGAGTATTCTTTGATGAAACTACCGGTGTATATGAGAAATTAGAAAAATTATCGCGTTATAAGTGTAGCTAAGATCTGCGCTTCTTAAGGATTAGTGAAATGTGTAAAAGTGCAATTTTAGAAAAATAGTTCACAGACCTCGATGTTTAGCGTTCTTTTTTTCTATTTTGTGTCATTCATTTTGTCTTGTTTAGTTTAAATGACGTTATAGTAATATCATAATCATTTATTGTTGATTACGTTAATATTTATTGAATGTCTTTTCTTCATAGCAGTTACATATTGGGTAAATGCAAATGTTGATTGAACTCCAGACTCTTATATCAGAATGGAAGCAAAGCAATTTTATAATCGCTCTATTAGTCCACTGGTTACAAAAACTTTCGCCTGTAAATGGTCTGAAGATAATCGATTATCTGTTGTCACTGAAAAAGGAGTTCATATATTTGTAATTAATATATTTTTGTTTATATTTAATTAGATATTTTGAATGAAAAGCATATATTTAATCATTTGTTTATAGGAGGTGATACCAGCCCCAATGCAAACTAACCCAATTTTGAAATTGTCTCGTTCATTTATTTATACTTCAGAGGCACTACCTGGAGAAATTTATATGAAGAATATATTGGATGAGATTTTCGAGTGGAAAAAAGAAGATATTTATTCATTTCTTATGCATGATTATTATACACCTAATTTTCCTAAGGCATTAAAAATGACCCCTGAAATTGTAGATGTATTTTGGTCACCAAAAAATCTTTTACATTCTCATAAGTGTCTGTTAGCTATTGTAACTTCGGCTGGTGCAGTTGAACTAGCTTTAGAGGTTGATCAAAATTGGATTTCAATCTTTGATTTTGTTAGTTTATGGGCTCCTGCCATTAATGAAGAATTAAAAATTGAAAAAGGAAAGACAAAAGTAGATGCTGGATGTTTAAAAATGCAATTGAATCGTTTAATAGTTACAACTGTTACTTGGAGCCCTATTTATTCAGAATTTAGTGATTCGTGTTTTGCTTACTTAGTAACAGCACATCGAAACTCAGAAATTGTAATTTGGAAAATTCATAGGGTGATAAATGATATCATAAGTATTGATGTAAAAATCAATGTTGAATTAAAATTAAAAAAAAAATTAACCAACGAAAGTATTAAAATTAATAATTTACTTTGGATACATTTGAATCAACAAAATTATCTTCTCATTATTGGATTTTTTAATGGTCAAATTGGTGCTCTTAAACTGCAAACATTGGAAAATGAGATAGCGTTTGAATCGTATTCCGTATCTTATGATGAGGCAGATAATATTCCTGTTGACTTTATCCATGTTTTAGAGAAAACAGATTTGTTTATAAAACTCGTTGTTATAAAAGGAATGTATCTCCTCATTCTTACTTTAGATTTTCATGGGAAAATGATAAATACAAAATTTATTTCCAGTCCAGGATTTTCAATAACAGGTAAAAAAAATTAATTTTTTATAATTTCTTTTAAATTTAATTTATCAAATACACTTGTTTATAGGAGTGTCTGTGGTAAATACTGATTTAATTTTAATTACTACTCAAGATGGTAATTTCTATGCAGTTCAAAAGTCTCATTGTGAGCAAAAACTAATTTGCATTCCAATAAAAATTGATTTATTAAAAAATCCAGTTCAATATTTAGGCCTTGCTAATTCACCAAACAAATTATTATTTACGCTTGTAACAAGTCCAAGTACCATGTATGATCATTTGATTCATCGAGATCCTAGTTTTATTTGGTTTTTAAGTTTGTTCAATGTCGCATCGTTGAATCCATTAGACATTATGTATCAGGAAAAATCTCTACTAAACTGTTGGGATTGTTTAGAACTAATTAAAATCAATGCTTTGAAATATAATGATTTACAACAAATTTTATCTGATGTTGAATTTAACATGGAATCATTGTCCCTTCATAAGCTTCGTATAGCATATTGGATTATGATTATAAATGAAAATTTAAAAAAAAAAAATTTTGTTGAAGATACTTTCAAATTATCTGAGGAAATCGAACAAGCAAAGTCTTATATTTTTCTGCATTCTGCATCAAATTATCTTAATCAGTTAGCTTTACAGGAGAATTTAAATGAGACACAAACATTATCTATGAATCTATTGAGAAGCCATTTAGAAATTTGGTTTGCCGGAGAAGAAGATGAAGAGGAAACTCAATTATCACAATACATTAAACAAACTTTAGAAAGTACCAAGCAGTTCAATTTAATGAAACAAGAAAACTGCAATTTATGCAAAGATAAAATTGTAGAACCATGGGCTTCGTCATGTTCAATGGGTCATGAATTACCAAGATGTGCTATAACTCGTTTACAAATTACATGTATAAAATTTCGTATATGTGTTGTTTGTCAAGAAATCTTTCATCCTTGTTTAAATATAGAAATGAATGATGTGAGATGTTTATTTTGTGATTTACCAGCAATTTATAAAAATCAATTAACAAATTTATCATTGCAAACGTCCAAGAAGAATTTGTCTAAGAAACAAGTAGCAATGATACAAAATAAAGATTCTAAAGATGATTGAGGTTAGGATTATAATGTAAGTGATACTTAGATTTCTACCTATAAAGAATTTTGTATAACTATTAAGCGTACTATAATCAAACTATAAACTCATTCTCAAATAAGGCAACTAATTTATGCAAGTATTATATATTAAAAAACAATAAATTTATTAAGCTATTTTATTGTAATTTTAATAAGAGATGATATATTAATGATATCAACATGAACTGAATCTTATAAGAAGTAGAAATGTTTATTAATACAAGTACAGTCGATTATTAGAAAAATTATACTTTAGATATTTATAGAGTATAGATCGATATTATTATTAGATAATTTTTAAATGTAAAAATTGAAATAAATTTAAGTACAATTTAATTATAAAATCTTTTATAATATTTAGTAATAATGTACATATTAAAGTACTTTAAAAAAGTAGAAGTTTAATAAGTAATTAAGTACTCGTTAAAATAATAGAAACTTTTATTGTACAATAATATTTTATTTGTAAAAAGATATTCACTTTTAGAAGTAAATTACTATTTAGAAGTAAAATACTATTAGTTAAAGTATTTAATAAAAATTTTATCTACAATTAAATTTTATTTTTTTTATATTGGTTTCCATAGAGAAACTCGATTAAATGCAATTATGCATCATTATTTATAATCATGAATAATTATTTACGAACACATATAAATATTTGTTGTATTGAATTGCATAAATAAATTTTACATGTTAATTATGATTATAAGACTTTTTAATTAAATATAATATATTATTTGATATAATAGTTATTAATTAATTATGAGTGAATACGATAAGATGCAATTGAATATATATATATATATTTATTTATTTATGAACAAGTGTGATAAAATATATTTTTATAGGATTTAAAAAAAATATATTCTATGATATATTGAAGTTAGCTAAATAGTGTAATTACATAACATAAATAACAAACTGAAACAGATAAAATATAAATTATGTTATTATAAATATTATATCATAATTTAATCATATTTTTATAAATGTTAAAGTAAACACGTATAACAGTTTTGGTTTTAAGTACATAAGATGAATATATAGATTAATTTTTATTTTGAGACCGAAACTTTATGGACCTATTAATTATAACTAGAGGTTTATATTTGTGTAAAATAATATTTGGAATTATCCAGTAATTTATTTAAGTATCACAAATTTAATTAAGCGCGTATCTCAGGTATATTTGTACATAGGAGCTTGTAATATGTTTTCGTCAAATTGAAATTATGTAAATATTTTTGTAATAAATACAATTTATATCTTGAATAAATATTTTATTATATAAATAATTAAAATTACATTAATTGTTCCTAAATAAACATTAAAATGTATTAAAAACTGTTTTAATATTAACAATATATTCTAAATAAGTCGTATTGCCACGGGTAACCATCGTTACATCTTCTTAACTCGTTTTAAACATAGTTCTTTGCAATATACTTATTGTATATTTTTAAATGTACAATATAAAATTAGGATTGTGAAAACATAGTAAACAGAAATTTTTTATCTAATTTGTCAGCAGAAATACAAAAAAAAAAAAAAATGGATAGAATGGCTATCAATTTAAATGCAAAGAACGATAATATTATTAACCTAATAGAAAAACCTAAAGAGAAATTCATCAAAAGCCCAAGGTAAACACGTACATTTTATAACTATTATTTGTTGAAAATTAATTATATATTGAGAAGAAAGTCAATGTTTGAGTTAATGGATATATAATTATATAATATATATTATATAAGATATATAATATCTGTTAAAAATATAAGTTCGTTAGTGTCAAATGTTAATTTTAGATTGTTTTTTTACTCAATTAATTAATTTAAAACAATTGTAATATCTAATTATAATACATTAAAATAATTTATATATTTCATCTTCAAACCCTTTTTAATTCTTATTATAATAATTTTGCCAAATTCACCAAACAATTTTTGGTGAATTAATAATTCAATTATATTGATATTAAAAATTTGCTTTTTAATCCATGTACATCAATAATTGTTTGGTTGTAATGTACTTTTCAAAACAATTTTATTCCAGTAAAATATATAAATAAAGAGTATATATTTAAGTTAAATATATATGTTCATTAATTATTAATAGAATTGATTTGAATTAATGATATACTCATATTTTTCGTCTTAATTTATTATAATAATTATTAATTTATTTATTAATTTATTTATTAATTTATTATTAATGATTTATTATATTAAATACTTTACTAAATGCTGTAGTACATTTAGAAAATTTGTTGAAATATTAAAACAGATTTGCAGTTTAAAATTGAAATATATGTGTATTAGCATCGTAATTTCTTTTATAATTTAATAGAAGTTCATAACCATATTTTAAGTTTTATTGTTATTATTTTACCATGTACTTAGATGTAGTTGAACTACTTTTATTCATTCATTATTCAAAGTATCAAATATTCAAATCGTTTGGAAATCATTACATTTTGTGCGATCACGAAAATACAATAAAGTAAACTTTCCGTTTCTGAAAATTATCTTTTTACGCACGGGAAACTGATCAAAACTATATCTTATAATACTATAATAATTGATGCATTGGTTTGGCATGATTAATAAAAACTATTATAGGATCATCTAGAATTTAAAAAATATAGCAGAGTGCCAGTTAAAGATAAGAATAAAATATTTTTAAGTATATAACTAGATAATGATAAGAGTGCGACCACTTTCTGTTTTACTAAATTTTGTTAAATGAAATTATTTGTATGAATAAAATCATATTAAAGTTACTTTGTTATTATATATATATATATATTTATCTGTCATTGTTTAGTTTTATTTGATTAATAAACAGAACATTTTTAATAATATAATTCGTATTTATCTATGTTATTAACAATATTTACTTGTGCGGTATTTAATTTTTTTCATTTTTAATTGAAGTAAATTTATTGTTCTAAACAGAAATTATAGAGATATTGGTAATAATTATTTTTTTTTAAAGTAAAATAATATAAGTAACGATCTTTTTGATGCTTTTATATGCAGTTACGTTTATAGATTTAAAATGTTTAATTAACGATAAAATATGATGTTATTCAGATATCAATCGATTCATAAAGAACGAATGAAACGCGAGATTGCTAATACAAAAAGTGAACATAAGACTTTCGGGGTTCCGAAAGTATCGTTGAACTTGCCATCAGATTTTTTGAAGAAAAATCATTTAAACGCGGAGAAGCCAAAGGTCAATCATGTGCATTACCGACGTCCGAATTATCAACATAATCTACCAAAGTGGACACCCATTAAAATGCGTACAACCACATCCTACGGCCAGTTTCCAGAGTTTCCCCACGATCCCCTTAAAATTGGTAGATTGAATTTTCGCAAACGGAATATCGAGAATGTCAAAAATTTTGCTGGAAAACATATAAATTTGAATCTTGCCTATACCCGACATGGTGACAATCACGATCTGATACGTAGTGGCTTAATACCGATTTATATTCATAAGAAGGTAAGTTATGTGCACCTATTCGTATAGAAAAATGCAAAGTTTTCATCTTTTACATTGATTACTATTTGTTTTTTTAAGTTTTATTTAAAGTTTTTTTTTTAAAGATTAATGATTGATAATAAAAAAAAAATTTTAGAATTTTGGTGTAGTGCCAACTTATTTAAGAAAAGGGTCATTTACAAAATGTCCAAATAAAAAACGTCAAGATCAAACAGATGAATTAAACGAACAACATAGCTATGGAAAATCTTGTAGATATGTTACTCAAGATGAAAAAGCAAAATTAGTAAAAGTAAATATTTAATTGATACATTACAAGTTAATTAATATTCCTATTAATTTTATTATTTTGTTTACTAGGAGATGAAAAAGAAATGGGCAGAAATTATGAAGCAATTTCAATGTCTACCATTTCTTATAGATACTGTAGCAAAAATTAAAAGAAAAATTACAATAGAACAGAAATTGAATCAGCTTGAAAAAGACATTGAATTGCTTGAAAATCATCAATATATTTATGTTTACGATGATGCAGATATAAAACAGTAAATTAATTAACTTCTGCTTTTTTTTTTTTTTTTTTTTTTTTTTTTTAAATTTTTTTTTATAGACTTGCTTTCAAATAAACATTACCATACTTACCATGAAGTAATGTAATATACTCTGATGAAATTTTTACACAAACATTTGAAACATTTTTATTTTAAATTTAAAACAATTTTTTACAAATATATACCTAATATGTATTATATAATTTAAATTTACGATGATAAAATGACAAAATGATATATTTTTTTGACATTTAATATAAATTTGTATCTTATTTGCAGTTACATTTTAATATCGGTTGTTCTTTTTATTCGGTAGTAAATAATATTAATAATAATAGTTAATATTATTACTTAATGTAATTATAATGATATGATGATATGATTATAAAAATTATAAGTACGACTATATTTAAATTTTGTCATTAATCGATGTAAATGATACAGTCTTGTTTTATAAATTTAAATTATAATTAGTACATTTGAATTATATAAATAAATAACATAGGATATAAATAAAAATATAAAATTAATATTTATGAACTTTCAACATTAAATTATTTATAATTTGTTTTTTTTTCTAATAGAATAATTTAAACTAAAGTATTTGCAAATATATATTTATACTTACGGCGCGTAAGAACTGTGATTGATTCATATTTAATCATTATTATTCGTAATTATTATTCGAATAATTAACAATTATTCATTTTTCTATATATTAGAAAAGTCATGGATTTAATATTTATATTCATATTGATTAGAGTATAAACTAACTAATTAAGAGTAATTTTTATTCTATTTTATTTTATATGTCTTCATTTTACCATAAAATATTTATCTATTATTTATATATTATTTATATATTATTTTGATTCGTAATGCTGTTAAATATTAAAGAAAATATAATAAATTACAATAATAGAAACAAAATTAAACTATAAAATTTCATGTTAGATAACATTTGTATTTTCATAAAATAATTGAATAATAACATTATTTAGATAGTGTATTATATTATTAAATTTTTTTATAGCGAATACTATAATATTATTATTAAATATTTCTAAAAAAAATTAATTAAATTGTAATTTAACATTATTAAAAAAACAAAATTTAAATAACAAAACCATTAAAGGTATATATATTTGAAAATTAAAAAAATATGTCAAAAGCATACATGATAATAAGACTATATTAATAAGTACAAAATTTATTTTCACAATTATATAAATTTTCTTTTTATTTATGCGTTGGCATATGAGACAGGTTCGATGTTAAAATTCTAATGAACAATAATAAAAATAATAAATAAAATGCATTATTCAATAATAGCGTTTTTGTTTTCAATCTGTTATACATCATTTACTATAGGTATTTTTATTTTTAATAAATACCAAATAAATTTTAAATACATTTATTGTTAAATGTGTCAATTTTATATTTTATAGGAGTAAGAGAACTCACATATACAAAATTGGATTGCCACAATTGTTGTCAAAGTAAGATATATATATATGTGTGTGTGTGTGTGTGTGCGCGCGTGTGCGCACACATACGTAGGTGTGTGTGTGATTGTGTGTGTTTACGTGCAGTAAGTTTTAGTCACACATACGTAGGTGTGTGTGTGTGATTGTGTGTGTTTACGTGCAGTAAGTTTTAGTCATTATGATTTTAATTATTTATTTTAATAAATTAAAAAATATTAAATTATAAGAAATAAAAATTGTATTTAAAAATTGTATTAAAATTTATTGCTTATAAATTAATTCAATATTTATACAATGAACGAATGAAACTAGGGAATAATTAATTAATTATTAATGGAAATAAAAACTTAAATGAAATATTAAAATAAAAAAAATAAATTATTTAAGTATAGTTTGAATTAAAAATTGTCATTAATCAATGTTGTTATATTTAAATATAGCTTTGCCTATAGGAAAGCAGCATCTTTGCAATATTTCATGCATTAAAAAGTTTTCAAGTAAGTAAATGAAAACATTTTATTCTGTCAGTTATTTCATAATTTATATAAAGGGAATGAAATAAACTAGTTTTACAGTGTCAAGTTAATAGTTTTATATACATTTGAAGTTATAAAAGTACAATAAAAGTTAAATAATATAGTGTATAATTGAATTAAATTTAATAAAAAGTTATTTAATATAATCATATTTTGAATGTATTAAATATATAAATTAATTTAATCAAGTTATCGATTAATAATACTTGTGTAGTTTTAAAAGTCGTGACATTTTAAATATTGGATTACTCACCTTGAGTTCTGAATTGTAATTTAAATTAATTACAGTTAATTTTCATACATTTTAATTTTTTAATATTTATTATTTCGATTTTTCAAAAATAATGTAATGGTGTTATAATTATTTACTGTGTTAATTATTATTTTCTTTGTTATGTAAAGAACATTAAAAATATTAATTGTTTTATTATATATGGGTTTTAAAATATGTCAACTACTATTTTTTATTATATTTTATTATTATTATTATATATATATAATAATTTTGTAATCTTATCATATAAAAACGTTATTATTATAAATATATTTATTACCTGTAATTCTTGTTAAACGAATCATGGAATAGAAATTGTTTTTCAAATGTGTCATAGAACAGTAATTTGTTTTTCATTAAAAATACTATTTTATAAAAAAGATCTATTATATTTAAAAACAACAATAGAAATATAATTTTATTATTGCATTTCTCTTTTTTAGAGGGCATATACTTAGCTGCTTTATAAATACATATTTTTAAAATACATATAAGTGTTTATTTAAGTTTGGAATATTATTTATTAAAAGATTTTTTTTTAATTTAGATTTCGATTCCTTTTTCTCAAGTTTTAAAGCATATCTAAAGTAGTTTTAGAAGTAATTTCTTTGAAATCGTGAGCAAATATGATGTATGTGATTCTATGTTTATGAATTTATATCGAATATTTTTTTCAATATCGTGACTTACATTAAATGATATATATTATAATACTTGAATTAAATCTAGTAATTTGTTTGAAATATGAACGTTTGTATAGAATATTTAAAAATTAAAACAATTTAAATAGTTTATATAATTAAAATATATTCATTATAAAATAATATTTTATGAGCAAATATGTTATATTATTTATATTATCTATATTATTATATCGTACTTCATTTCATTGTATCTCCAATAATTCACAATTTGTCTTATACAATTAATACTTCCTAACGATATATACATCTTAAAAGACCCATTAATTCTTTAAAAAACTTTTATATTGCTTATCGGCTTTGTGCTACAATTGTAAATAATAAATAATAAAATAAAAACACATGTTAATTTAGTTTTATTATGGATATAGAATTTTATCATTTTTCGAAGATACGATCGTACGAATTCAATTTATAGAGTAGTTTTCTTAGAGTACTTAGTATTATAAATATATCTAAATTTACAAATAACGTGTTTATTTGCCTTACCAAGTCATATTACAAAGTTTTTATATTTTATTAAAACAAAGCGTAAACTTTATGAAATATTATAAATTCAGTTGATTTATTAATACGTCTTCATTTTATTATTTCCTTTATTCTGTACTTCTTAAAATATTTAACCTGCTTTGCTTATTTTGTTTTCTTTAGAAAAACATGTATATAAAGGACTATCGAATTGTCTAAGAGCTTGTAATGGTAATAAATATTTATTAATTATATTATTATATTTAATCTTCAATCGTTACAATTTTTATTAATTTATCAAATATCAATAAAATATATATATATTAATTTTTATTTAACTGAACTTTTACCGTTTAATTTAATGATACAAATATGATTATCTAACGTTAGCTTTTATTTGTTTGTATGATTATTATTTTGAATTATATATTAATTCAATTAAGATAATTAAAATAAGTATTTTTTAATTTAATAATTTATTATATTACATTTGAGAAATTGTAGATTAAGATTTTTCTGATTAGTACAATAATTACAATACAACATCGAGTCCGATTTATCTAAAAAGTGTCATTAGAATATTATATTATAATGAAAATAATTAGAATTATTTATTAATGAATAACGGTATCGACATTTTTACGTATTTAACAATTTCTGCATTGGATATTGCTTACATTATAATTTACAATAATTACAAATTACATAATGTGATTAGAATTATGAGGAATTAAAATTTAATATAAAAATTTTATATATTATAGTTATTCTGGACGAATGCAGAGGTGATTGTTTTAACTCGTGCCACTCGATATTTAAAAAAAGCAAGTTAATTTTTTTAAAATTCTACTTTCAATATTTTATATTTTAATGTTCTAATATAAACATAATGAATATTTATTTTAGTTAGTCGTAAATCGAATACGAGTTCAAACAGTTCAACTACAAATGCAATCAATTTTAAACAGACAACACTAAGATTTGATTTAAATTTACCATTGATTGATGATTAAATAAAATTCTAATCTGTGCTTTTGATCAAAGTTGAATAGATATTTATAAATATGGTGTTATAGAATAAGACAAAATATACACAGTTTTATAAAGACAAAAAGTTGAGAAAAATAAAGAATAAAAATTATTTATTATAATTATTATTATAATGTATACAATATATATCCAATTATATTTAATATATAACTATAATACATCAACAGATATTTACATTATGCAAACATCTTTTTTATGTTCAAATGATATGATATATTTACAAAAGCTATTATCCTATTTAAAAGTTTTAAAGTCGTTTATCACTGCGATACCATTTTTATCATCGTTGTTTATATTAATTTATATGTATATGTATGCACCATTACATGTTATATAAAATTGACTCTTCAGCAAAATAAAATATATGAGATGTAAAAAGAAGAACTTTAATAAGACCTAACAAATATAAATCAAAGAAATATGTTATGCATTGACAATACTGTTTTTTAAGCACAGATTTATAAGGGAAAATTAGAAGATTATATAATTAATTTTTATAAAATGAAATGAAACATAATAAATAAAATCACATACAAAAATAATGATTAATTATTTTTATATAATATAAATTTTTATTTGTAAAACAAATAATCCTGTATAAGTTTTTTATTATTTTCTTACTAATTAATGGTGTAAAAATGCTAAATTGGTTTGAAAAAAATCTTACTGTAGAAGTTATGATTTAAAATTAATTCCATCTTTTGCATTATTGTATCTATCTGCTCATTTGTTGAATTGAATATGCAAATATATATATTTGATATATTAATATTATATTAGTTACATAAGTAACTTAATGCAATGTGGCAAAATAAACAATATGAACTAAAGATAAAATTTATGAGATATTTAATTTCGTTATTTGTATGAAGGTAAAATTGATGGTGGACTTATTGATTTTTTTTTGTAATTAATGTTATTATACAAAATATTTAATATGTTTGTATGCACACTCTTTTAATTCATTGTTTATAATCGTCATTAAAAACGAGAGTTATTTAACATAATTATAGTAAGGATTTTATTATTTTCAAAATGTTTTGAGAGAACTATTTAAAGTAATTGCAAATGCGGGCATTATTATGACTAAATGACGTTTTTTTACAAAACTAAAATTTCATCTCTTTCGGTTCAGGAAAACATCTTATAAGACGATTCGTGTGATTAAAAACCCGCGCATCACAATTTTTATGAACTGTAAAGATGTGACATTCTAATGATATATGTAGTATTTTTTTTTAATAAGTTATTACTTACTATAAAACTTGATTCACCAACACATTATTATTTACCAAACACAATCGATATTTTATAGCTAAGATATAGGGGTATAAGAATTATAAATAAATGCCTAATCTTCAATTCGTTTCTTGTGAATATAATCTATAACATTGTTTAACAATTTTATAGCGGTATCTGCCTACTATTATGAATAAAGCAGGGCCGGATTTTTTAATAAGCACATAAGCCTCTTAGTGCTTCATTTTCGTGTTTCCTTAAAAACAATTCATTTTTTTTCATCTTTTATTAAAATTAATTATTCTTTTGTAAATTCATAAAATCTCTATTCTTTTAAAATTCGATTTTCAAATTCACTAAACCCAAAGTATAAGGTTATGTCCGTTGCCACAATAAATAACGGATAGGTTATAGCAGTTTGAAATTAGTTATATTAAGTTTATTTCAAATTAATTCGAATAAAATTAATTCATTTTCATGAGAACGTTGTTGTATTTGGTAAATTATGTTTTTAAATTTTACAGTATTTTTCGTAGAAGAATTGGCACTATTTATGTTTTTATATAATTAAATAATTTGTAAATTTGTTTTGAAATTTTTATTAAAGAAATTATATAATTTAAAAATAGCAAATACGAATATGAAAATGTATTTACAATATAAAAATTTATTGAATAACAATAGTCAGTCAAAATTTCAAAAATTCGTTAAAGATGCAGAAATAGAAGAGGTAAATTAATATAAATTATTTTTGTTTACATTTATATAAATAAACCTATTTATTTATATCTTTTAAGCTCTGCAATATGGTGTTGAAAGTGATTAATACTTCAGAAGTACTAACAATGTTGGACAATATTTTACAAGGTTTTTCTGAACTAGACAGATATCACGATAAAAGACAAAAATTAGTTAAAAAAATATTTGATGCAACTTGTAAAGCCAATGTCAATAGCAAACATGTTGATGCTATTGTTAGTAAAATAGCAGCTAATTTTTCTATGTTCGATAAAGCGCATCTTGTTAATTTAGTAGATTATTTTATTGAGAGAATTAGAAATAATGATGATAGTTTTATGAGGTTATTCGTGTTAAATTATCATGATCATAATATAGTTCTATGGTTGTAAATTATGAGAAGTCTAAAATTAAATAAATATGAATGACTTTATAAAGATTAAAAGTAAATGTACTAAAAAGGGGAATAATCGTTACAGTCATTTTTGGAATTATATTTCATTTATTTAAGCTCTTCTCAAAATATTTTCAACCATTTATGTTTTTTTTCTTATAATTGATAGCTTTATTATCATTTTTAGTTGGAAGGATCTATTACCATTATTATTGGAAAAAATTGAAGAAGAAAAATTTATAAATTACAGAGGAAGTGACGTATCTGGTCAGGAATACAAAATTATTATTATTCGTTCAATATGTGATATTGATTGGGATATTAAAATTTTATCATCGATTGCCAAAATGTTTGTGTATGTACTCATTATTATTTAAAAATATAATTGGTACAATTTAAAAATTTCTAGATATTCAATAAATATATATATTTTCAAAAAATATTCAAGTACAATATCTTAAAAAATTGTAACAACATTATTATATTTATATTATCATATTGAATACGGTTTTTAGTTTTTATATATTTCTTTTTATTAACAATTTATTCTTCAGAGAATTAATTATAGATATAAAAGATAAAGCCATTTGGGAGTTGATAATGAAAGCTTTAACAAGTAAATTAATGACCATAGATTTTAATGAATTACCTCCTTTAGTTCATCAAATATTGAAACTTGGGTATAACGGTAATAGTATTTTATTATTTTCTACATTATCTAAATACTTTGCAAAAGAATATGCTTCCTTGTCTAACAATGCTGATTCTGATGATACTTCCAATTCAATAAGTAAGTAAAATTGTACTCTTCTTAAAAATAATCTATTGAAGATTAATTATAATTTCTAAGAAGTATTTGTTCATTCATTACATAATTTAAAAATCTAATAGTTTAGCTTTATTTTTCATGCAGTACCCAATTTTTGAAAATATAGTTTTTAATTTGTTAATGTATTTGTTTATGCACTAACTAAAAAATTGAAGAAAAAGATAATAAATTTTTAGTACAAAAACACAATCAATATTCCTCAAATTTAGCATATGTAGCATTTTGTTATAATGTTAAAATGCTTTAGTTTCTAGTAAGAATATTTGTAAAGAGTTACAAGAAGTCGAAAGCACAGTACTTTATTACATTCACCAATCCGTTTTGGACAATACGAAAGGTTCACTGGAATATATACGATGTCTCAAATCTATTATTAATGCACCAGAATATGTTTTAGATACTTTTGTAATATCGATATTATTATTAATATCTGATTTGTATGAAGATCAAACATTACAAATTTTGAAATTGGCTTTTTTACGACAAATCCAGGATGAGGAGAATGGTAATCACAGTGCTTGGCTCAGACAAATTTCTTCTAATAAATCATGTGCTTTAGAAACAATTAATAAGGTTATTGAAAACAGGTAAATAAAGTATTATTATCTATTCGATAATTATTAAAATTTGTTTTCACTGTATAGTTTCAACAATGGTAAGAAAGTATTTTTGTAATTTATTTTTAATTTGTATTACATGTACTTCTTAGTAATAAAGATCGTCAATTAATCCTGAAAGGTATGGTGGACTTTGCTTTTATTTTATTAAGCACTGAAAGAAAAGTGGTCGTTGTCAATTACTTACCTTGGTCATATGGTAATAAAATACTCCAAAAAATAGCTAGAAAAAGACATGATGCTGCTGGTACAATTCTTGAACTTTTAGTGGATAAAATAGTTCGATCAGGTTCCAATACCTTTCAATATACAGGTAAATTAAAATTCTAAGTAAAATATAGATTTAGTATTTACTTAATTAAATAGGTATATCAAAACTACTGATTAATCTAATGTGTAAGGATATAATCTATATCAATTTTCAATCTTTAATTGTAATAATAATGATTTATGTACGACAGAATAAGTAATTAATTTTTAAAAATTAGTTAAACTATTATACTATTATTATTATATTATTGTATTATTATCGTATCTTTTATTATAAGATATTTCTTAGTCTGAACATTATTTAAGATATATTAATTAATAAAGTATTAATAATCTAGAAAATTTATAATATTCAATTGTAAATGCAATACAAATATATATAAATTGAAGAATTAGTGTTATTTGGAAAATGAACATTTTTATTTTTGCTTAATTTTATAAATATTCGATGGAAAATGTTTGAAACGATTTGTAAACTTTTTATTTTTATGAACATATTACTGTTTTCACATATTGTTATATAAATAAAAAATAAAAATAAATGATAAAATAATAATTGTAAAAATAGAAATATTGATTTGTAATTAATATTGAGTTACGTTGTATGAATACAACTTGTCTTTTGATACAATTTATGCTATGCATAATTTAGATCTATTTTAATATTATTAAACTTTCATATATAAAATATTAATTATACTAAACAAAGTATATTTTGTTTTTTTAGAAGTAACCAATAGAAACATCTAATACTTTGAACATATATACAATTATATTACACAACATGTATATCTTTTAGATTGCTTGGCTTATATGTGCCGAAGATTAACAATGACAATCCTAGATCACCAAATCTGGATAATGATTCTTTTGGATCAATTACTGGTGATACCGGGTAGTACAGCATCTCAAATTCTCAAAGCCATATTACCATTGATGCGAATATCGAGTACAATTCGAGACAATCTTATTATGATATTACGCAAAGCACTTTACCGGAAAGGTATACATACTCGGCAGATGGCTGTATTTGGATTCTTGCAACTCTTGAAAAATCTTAAACTGAGTACCCTTACTACTCTTAGTCAGTCTGATTCTCTATCATCTTCGAATGTAGCATCTTCGTCGTCATTCTTTACACAGGTATAAACATAAGGTTTTTACACAAGTCTTAATAATAAAATCTGCTTATTAGTGAGTAAGCTTTGTGATTTTCTTGTTTTATTTTAATAATAATTAATAATTAATTCTAATTAAAAAAGAGTATGCTTGTTTTTGCAAATTTATAAGTACAAAATCGATAAAGATGTAATATTAATACATGTAGAAATATTTTTATATCTAGAAAAAAATTTAGGTTTTTATCAAGTATGCTTGTGTTAAAATAAGTTTTTCTCAAAAAATTATCAATTAATACAACATACCATATTATGTTAATGTTATATTTTTATTTTATTTTTTTAGGCTACTTTAGAAAGGTCATCGCAAAGATCAAACCCATGGCATAATACTAGTTTATGTCGTGAAATTCTAGCTATACTAAGTAAATGTTTTACTCATGAAATTGAAGTACGCTCTCATTTATATAAAGGTATACATATACACAGACACGCGTATTATCTTTTGTTTTATTCATACCCTGTGATGGTTTTTGCGTGCGTATATTCGTATGCTTCTATGTTGACTATTCAAATTACAATTTTAACAGCCCCTTCGACGGAGATGGAATGCTTAAATGGCAGCTGGAGTGGGAAAAAGTGTATGAAATGCTTGCAATAAGAAAATGAATTACGATGGTATAATCCATACATAATGTATTCACGTTAAGTTCGTATTAATAAATAGGATAATAATATAACATTTATTTATGTGCATTGCAAAGATAACTTGATAACGACTTTATAAGGAAAAAAATTAATTCATTTACTGCCTTATTGCACTTATTCTTTTTCGCTCATTCTCATGAACTTGATTGCTGATCTACTTTTTGTTTGCTTGAGGTTTTATTTTTCGCTATTGACATAGTATTAATACTTTTCAGCTATATTTTGCGCCGTGAATCATATGTTATAGACATGGGTATATTTTGATTTAAATTTTTTATTTACCATTTTTATAATTTTTAATTAATTTGTGAATTCTTTGTCCTTTTGTATATTTTTATTATTAAGTATTTTTTAAAAAACTAAAAATTTTAAAATATTACATCTTTATATAATAATAAATCATATAAATAATTACTAAAATGTTTAAAAAATTTGTCTTCCATATAATTTGTAAATGGAAGCAATACATTTTTTAACTTAGAATATTTATTTCATTTATTATTTTCATTCAATAGTATAATAATATAATAATAGTAGTATAATTATATTTTTATGAAATTAATTTATGTAGATATTGAGATAAATTCATTTATATATGTTATTATATTAGTCATGTGTGAAATACAATTTAATTACATTTTCCTATGATCTAAATGATTAATATATTTTTCAAATAAAATATATTAAATCATTTTATCATTCTATAAATGTGATAACTGTGACCACTTGATTAAAACTTTATTCTTACATTAAAAGGCTATTTATTTATTATTTAGAGCTATATTACGGTGTTGTAAAAAATCAAGAATTGACGGAATATGTAATAGAGATGTTACTGGAGCATTTTTTCCAATATTACGAAAAAGATGAAAAGATCGTACCACCATTATACTTTGAGAAATGCAGCTCCGATCAAGGCCTTAATGTAATTTATCAGGAGCCATTGCCAGATTTAATATGTGCTTTACAAAAAATTTATCTTAAAGTAGCTTTAAAAGACTCATCAAAGATCGACCAATTGGCGGAAATACTTGAATCACTTTGTAAAAGAATGGCTCAAACGGATGTAGAACATATGAGTATTGTATGCTATTTTTACTTTTTTTACCAATAATACTTGCGTCTCTTTTACAAAAAATATTAGTCCGTTAAATTTAATAGCTATAGTACCTAATTAAGTTTTAAATTATATTTTTATAATTGTAAATTAAACAATAATTTTAATGATTTTTATAATTTTCCATAAAATTTTGTTTGAATAATTCAGTTCTGCCCTTTGTCCCTTTGTAATAGCAATTACATAAATATTAGATTATTTATTTCTTAATAAACATTTTGTATGCAGGATGAGGACATCGATATACTCGATAACAGTTCCAAAGCACAACAGAAATTATTGAATATTAAGATAGCAATTTCAGTATATGAGACTTTAATAGCTTATAAGATTGCTTCCTGGTCCTTAAATAGTTTAGAAGTTGGTCAGAGTATTATTAGTCTTTTTAAGGGTTACACTAGGCTCACCGAATATCTGAAAAATCTTAGTAAATCAAGGAAGGGCGGTGGAAAAGGTAAAAAGGATAAAAGTAAAGATGGTAACGATACCACCATTAAGAAATCCGGACGTATGAACACTATAAAGTTACCAAACACAGTTATGAGCTTCGAAACAATATCAAAAAGTATAGTTCTGCTGTATAAGTGAGTTTCCAACTTTCGTATATTTCATTTAATATTAACGTGCTATATATCAATATTGGATATTCATAATGCTTTTAATGATTTTAAATTGAATTAAATGTTGTGTGTCATTTTTCATCCGTTAATTATAAATTTTTAAATATAATAATATTAATATATTGTGCATATTACTTACTTTGTAGAATTAATTCAGTATCTCGGCCCGACAAATTTAATTCCGCACTCAGCATTCCTTATTATTCAAATTAATTTATTAATTTAATAATTATGCAATATAAATATATATTGTATAAGATATTATTAGTATAAAGCTTCTATTAATTTTTATTAAAATATTCGCGCCTTTTATTCATTTGTAGTCAATCAAATTCTTGGGCAACATCAGAACAGACAAGCGATGTGAGAGGCCGCATGGAATTTCATATTTACATTTTGCAAACGTGTCTACAATTGTTGCAAAATGTAGAAAAATTAAAAGACCAAGAATTACAAAACTGTTTAGAGCTAAATAAACGGCATTTCCTTCTTATTGGAGAGTAAGTCTTAAATTACTAGTAACAAATTAGTTAACTAGTAAATAGCAATTAACGTGCAAACAAATTTTGTAGTATTAAATTATATAAAATGTAATTTAAATATTTTTAAATATATTCTTAGATATGTCTATTTTTCAAATATGCAAAAATTTTAAAATGTCAAAAATTCCACAGTTGAATAATTCCTTAAAAAATACTACAATATACGTATATTTTGTTATAGAACATTATACAAATATATGATTTCTGATTTAAAATCAGTAAGTTCATTTCACGAACTTATTGCCACCTTGGGAACAGAGTGTTTTAAAGAATTGTGCAATATTATGTGCACATATAATGCAGATGCGTTACCAGCTTTCATTGAAGCAATTTGTAAGTTCAATTTTCTAAACAAAAAGGATCAATTAAAATTAAAAAATTTTCATAATAAATAATTTTATTTTGAAAATCAATGAAAATAGTTATATTTTCATGTATTGTTTATTTTTTAAAAGTTACAACAATTACAAATATTAAAAATGGATTTACTTTAATTAACTGCTTCTACAATTTAGTATTACAATTTATTTCTAATAAGAACTCTTTAAAAATAGAATTTTTATTATTTATTATGTAAAATAAACATTAATTACTTAAAAACTTGAACATTACATTACTAATAAAATTAGGATAAAGGATAAAAAATTAGGTAATCAGGATAAAGTAATCATTGCAATTTTAAGTTAAGTTTCTTAATTATATATTTTATTGATTACGAAAATGAAAAAATTGAATATAGAATTTAGCAAATTTAATAAAAAAAAAAAATATATATATATCCTTAAGGTGGTGTCAATGTTTCTCGAGGTCTTTCAAGTCAACTGCAAGAATTTATTTTATTATTCAAAGATATTTTTATACTAAGCCTCGATGAAGAAATCGCTGGAAATATAGAAACACAAAATATTCCACTGTATTTAATAGAAACAATTTTCAAATTCGTAGAAAAAATAACTTTCAATGAAATAAAAGTTAATGAGGTACCTTTTTCAAAGTTTAAAAATAATCAGAAAATAATCAGAATAGGTATTATTTTAGTTAATGATTTTAGAGTTTCAATTGGCTCAATAATATAGCCGAAAATCAAAAACAAATTGATGTTCAAGTAGCTTCATTGATTGTACAACTAATGATTTTGGTAGATGAACAAAATATTGAATACAGTGAAACTATTCAAGATCTTTGCGCCGAGCTTTTTCCAATCTTAGGAAGAATCGATAAGGTAACATATTTTAATAATTAACTTAATATAAAATAGATATTTATAAATGATATCGTAGTAGTAAGTAATAGAAAATAAAACCAATTTCATAATATTTTAGCTAATTATTGTAACTAATTGTTTATATAATTTAAAATAGAAAAACAAGATCTATTATTCTAAAGTTATGAACTTCAATAGTTTTTAATGCAGTTAATTTTAAGTTAAAATATTTAATAAATTAAGTTTTTTTTTAATTGAAAGGAATATAAATTATAATTAATTAAGAGTTTAAATAGTATTTTGAAGAGTGATTTCGAGTCCAGATTCTATCAACGGATATTATATATGTTGTTTTTTTAAATTGCACATTTATTCAAATCAAAATTTATATTAAATAATAGATTGCATTTTATTCCATATATAACATTCCCGAATATAATTAGAAAGACTAAGTAATTTTAAAAATTACAAGATTCAAACCATTAATAGCAGGACTAGCATAGTTGTCAACGAAAACATCTATATCTCAGGGCGTCTGTATAACTAAAATAATTCGTAAATGAAGATAATACTAATGAAATACAATGTTTTAATATTTCGATGTGCGATCACTTTTTGGTTTCCACTCATTTTAATTTTGTAAGATGCTAAATTATAATAATTGAATTATGTATAGTTTACGTTTCTCAATAAAAAATACAGATATTATAATAATGTAAATTTTCTTACGAAATTACTAGTGCGAGATATAATATTTATAAATTCGAAATTAGACTAAAAGGATTAATGTAGATTTAAACAAATTTTATTAAGGATAGAAACAATTAATAGAAAATAATTAAAAATAATTATTAATACATAAGTTTTATTCATAATTATAAATATTAATGGCTTACATAATATTTTAAACAACGTATAAATAATAGCACAAACCATACCATTCTAAAATTATTGTAAAGACTGATGTTTTATATGGGCTGATTAGATATCTAAATAACAAAAATGGTTTTCGATTAAAGTATGCATAGACAATAACATCTATGTACTATTTACTTATTTTAGATTGAAGTTAGTGCAACAAGAAAATTCCAAATTATTAATGAGGCAAATGTTTACCCAATTTTTATTATTATAAACAAAGTACTTTCATCCAAACTACAAAATATTAATTGGTTATTGTGTAGGCTAAATGCCGAATATATTGCAATAAATAGTCTCCAATTGGACAGTGAATTTAGTAAGTTTTGCATTTTTTTTTAATAATATAATTTAAAATATAATAATAAAATAATTTTATTAATGAATAAATTATTTAGTAATTAATTTTTATTTTCATATAACAAAAATAATATAAAATAATTTTTACACCTGCTTCTTATTCAATTAATGTCTGAGTAATTACAAAAAGCATGTCGAGAATTCATTTTATAAAATTACAATATACATTAATAAAAACATATTTTACAATTCTTTACAATATAAAATTTTATATCTATAATTTAATACTTTTATAATAAATCTTAGAACAAAAGCTAATAAAAAGTAAAGAACAAGCTTTATGCCGACAATTTACATTCATTCTTGGTATATTTGAGATACTGACCAATATAAAAATTGCTCCTGGACAAGCTTCAGAAATTCTTTTTAAAAATTTACAAAAAGTTTATAACTTTGCTTGTTCTTTAGCAAAATATTTTAGGAAAAAGTCGAGTGCGACAAATCCAGCTTTTCAATCAGTCAAGTAAGACATGTAAATTTGAAATTAATAAATATCTTATTCAATATCATTGATTTGTTATAAAATATTATATTATATTTTTATACGATTGTATTATACAGATTTATACCAGTAATTCAAGGAGCGGGAAATGCTTTGAAAGAATCTATAACTGAATTAATTTTGCACATCGAGGTAATTATAATGATACGAAGATAATTTATTTATTTTGTATTTTTCAAAATAAAACTTTACAAACATCTAATTATGTTGAATATTTATTTATATATGACAATAATAGATAAAAAATAAGATTAAAAATAAATTTTTTAAAAACATTTGTATTTAAGTATAATTAAAAGAAAAATTTTCTAGTCAACTCAAAGTAGTGGGAAATCAAATGACGTCTACGTTCAACGTAATAAAATTTTAAAAGAAGTAATGGTGATACCTGGTGTTGTACAGGCTATAGACATGTTTGATAAAGAAATTGCATTATTAACAAAGAAAACTGGAGTGAGTACATAAAATTAAATAATATATAAAAAAAATATATATTTTAAAATTTATCATTTTTTTTTTATTATAAAATTGATTTATATTTCTACATCACATACGTTTCAGTAGTATTTTATTAGGTGTCCATCATTTTCCAAAATTGTAGTATACGTAATGTAATTATGAACCTCACAGGTTTTGAAACCTGTTCCAAATATAAATGATTATTTTATTGATAAATGTATTTTTAAATAATAAAAAAATATATATTTCGTAATAATAGAATAATTTAATTTATAATTTTTATTTTACAGATAGATTTGATGAAATATATTAAATATGACGTTATCAGAGACTTTAGAATACAAAATACTCAGTTGATGGAGAATTTAGAGAAAATGAACGTTAGCCTTGTATGTTCTGATTAAATTAAATCGATATTAGAAAAAATAATAGAATAAAAAACGCTTATTTGAATATAATTATTTATTTTAGGTAATAACTCAATCTGCTAGAGATAATAAAAGCAACGATGTCGGGAGTGAGAGTAGTGACGATCAAACTGAAACCAAAGCAACCCCTGTTAAAAGACAACGCACTAAATAAATAAAAATAACAATTTAATAGATAATGAATTATGATTGTATATTATTCAATTGTACAACATTACTTTAATAATTATTAAGTGATGAATTAATTTATTTTAATTTAATTTTGATAATTTAAGAAATATTTATATTTTATTAATAAAAATAATTAAAATTTATATACAATATAGTTTTCTGTTTATAGAATGAAATAACTTATATTGGAACATTAATATTTTTCTATTAATTTTTACAAAGTTTTATATAATCATAGGTGTTTTTATCTGAAATACTTTCTTTTTTTTTTCATTATGACATTCGTTATGTACTTAAAATTCGAGTATCTCTTATGTATAATAGATTCTATTGATTTAATATAATTTTAATATCATTCAAATAAATAAGATTTGACAGAAATTAAATCATTTAATTAAGGGACAACTCCAAGAAGTAGTGTATTTTATTAATTATTGACTCTACATTCTATACGAAAATATATTCATATGGCTTATTTAATATATTAATTTAATATAATAATTGAAACAATAATTTTATATTAATTTGTTTATTTATGAAACATTATTCCATCAAATATTACCATTTTTATAACTTACATGATTAAAATTATAAAAGAAAATCAATAAATAAACAATATTATATATATTAATTTTTAAATATTAATCAGTAAACTTTATGTATTTCAAAGAATTTACACAATTTAACAATTTAAGTTTCGATTAGAATATTATAAACTTAGAAAATTAATTAAAAGGTTTCATGTTTATTTATAATTGAAGTAGTATTCAAATAATTACAGTTTTTATTATTATTAAATTAATATCAAATTTATCTAGAAAGTGTTCATTAGTTCCTTTTTACTGAATTTTGAATGAATTGAATAATTAAATTATTTATAGATTTCATATTTATAATACATTCTGAAGTCGTCTAAATATTAATATATTTCTGATTTATTTAAAACTTAGAATTTACATGATATTATATATAAATAGTTCTATTGCGCTTTCTATAATGTGATTGCCTTAACATATATTAACGAATAGATTATACAAGCATGTTTAGCCTTTTTTTTCAAAGCTCTAACGATTATATTTAACTTTATATATTATACATTTATATATTTATTAATGTTTTTCAATTTTATATGCATCTGAAAAGCGATTGTTAAGGTGGACATGTTATAGAATTTTAACATTTATTTAATTTTAGTTAAAATGATTATATTTTAGTTATATTTTAGTAATTTGTTTATGTTAAAAACAGTTTTCCTAATTACCTTTATTAAGATATAGATTACTTGGATTGAAAAATTATTTAAATGAAAACTTTTTTAAGTATTATATTATCTCGAGTTTGAACCCAAGGTGATCATAAGATAAAACATCTAATCACACCATTATTGACCGAGAAATAATTTTTTGTTGTTTATTTTAAGATTCAATATTATATGCACTTTTTATAGAAAATTAAACAACAAAAAAAAGGTAATTAAAAATATAATTTTTCATTTAGGAATTCTCTTCTACTTAGAATCAAGTATTTTGTTAAATAATTTTTATGTAAAATATCTTTTGTATATCCAACTTGTGATAGAAATATGAAAAAAAGATATAATTGGAATAGAATGCTGCATTGTTTGCAAATCGAAATTCATTTAATTATTTAAAATAAATTAGAATGTTACATAATCTGTTTCTTACAATAATTCCTTGCAATTCAATATGATGCTACATACGAGTTTATATTGATAATAGCCTCTACGTTGGAATAAAATTCAATTTTCAACTACTAAACTTATTTATTGTTTATTGATAATTTAATAATGATTCAATTTGGTTATATGACATTTAAAAATATTCAAGTATCAATGAAATATTGTAAGCCATTACAACTATGATAAAGCATTTTATTGTCTACATAATTATACTAATATATTTCACAAATAATACTTATGCTACAAGTATGACAAAATTAAAATAATTTTTAAATTGAAATAATTTTAAAAAGTTTATAATTGATGTGACTTTTCTGGCTATATATTTAAACATTTATTATTGGAAAACTTGCTATAAAAATAAATAAAAAAAAAAACGAAAAAAAAGTTCAATAGGACTTATGTACAATTGTATGTAGGCAAACAATTGATTACAATTTTATTTCATTAAATTCATACTCCTGAATGGCTTTTGGCTGCCTTGTTGCAATTAAAAATTAAGCTAGTCGTCTCGATGGAAAATTACCTAGGACTTAGTTATTTCAATGCGTTTTATAAATTATTAGAAGTCTGCGATGTAGCTTATTGACATGTGTTTATTATTCAAGCGCGAGAGACAATAACGAATAATCGTTCCCAT